GCAAGAACTACTTAACGAAGGTATGAAGACCAAGATGGTGTGGCCTTTTGTGTGGTCGCAGTTTCCTTTCGCTGTATAGAGGTTGTTTGACCTTGCTTTCGCAACATGGTCATATTTGGAAGAAGACTTAGAGAAACGCATCTAGTCTGGAGTCCATTGTATGCATGATCATCTCCAGAGTAGGATCGTGGACGTGGTACATTCCCAGACGTTTCGCCGGCATCGTAGTTGGCATCATCAGTGAGTCTCGCCATTAGCACCACACAATAACTCGTCAGAGACAAGTAAAGTCGATCCTTTGGCCAAACGTGTGCTAAACAGTTGTATATCCCCTTTTACCCTGGGCTATTCACATTTCCTATATCCTCCTATCACGCCTTCACTCCACGGTTCAACTTTGTCAATGATCAGACAGACAATGGACTCAGGACTAGGTGCGTTACTTTAAGTCTTCCTATCATGTTGCGAAAACAAGGTCTAACAACCTATAAAGAACTACTTATATTTGATTGATAAATTATAGGAGAGAGGTAATGTTGAGCTGCCATCCAAAAGAAGGCGACTCAACTTGTCCGCCTTGATGATTATAACCTGACATTAGCCTTTTTTGATCACTCTGATTTAGGACCGGTATTGCTTATAGACGTTAACACGCACACGAACAAAAGTAGCAGGACCAATACGAAAGATATTTAGCCAAACCATTCTATATCTATCTATGTCTTTTGATTTTCTTTTGCTTAATTGAGTCTATATAAGAGTCTATATATATAATATAGGGCCGGATAGTCTTTTTGATCTGGTATTAACGTGAGGCTTTTACAATAATGACTTGCAGCTCTGATTATGTCCATCGAATGATGGACGAAAGCTCAGCCCGTTTTTCCCCTAAACGATGAAGGAGCTTTCGGGGACTGCGTCAACCTGGGCGTCGTATTAATGCCAAACGGCTGCAATACTACGGGAATCAACCGTCCTATTCTGGTGAGATCGAGCTTCGAATCTCTTCTTCATGCAATTTCATACGAAATGGAGGTCTCCCTGGCAATATTATATAGGTTAGTTGTTAGCTTAATAGTGCTTGCTAGACCAAACGTGGAATTTTGATGCTATAAATCGTACTTCCTGCTCAGTCGACAATATTTTCCCTCATCTAAAGGAGATATACATGCTGACTGTGTTTGAACTTTAAAATAACATTTTTATAACGTTTATTTGTTTAAGACAGTGATTCTCGAACTGGGCGCTGCGAAATATTGTAAAAGCTTCAGTTTGAGAAAATGTGCAGTGGTTTGCAGGCTCATTCATCAAATTAATTATTAAATATTAATTTAATGTTAATAAAAAAATAATGAAGATACATGAGTTTTATTTATTTTTATCTTTTACTTACGAATAGTCATACTTGGGGTAGGGCGTCGCGACTAGGAAAAGTTTGGGAACCACTGGTTTAAGAGACAAAAAGGCAATATACAATCTCATTCTGTCT